GTGCTGAGCTCTTTTGTGTGTCCGTCAGAATTCCTGCATGCCTCCTGGTCAGGATTCTCAGTAGGAGTGGAACTGGAGGTGCCTATGTTGAACCAAGATCTGCGGATGGCCAAAGTGTTCTGAAGGACTTCATGGTTGTATGGGCTCCGAAGATGAGTCACAGGGACCTGATGCACCTCAAGCAAACCAACCCGGCTGTGGTAGGATTGGCACGAATTGGGGAACGCAGGGGCCTAAGGGTGCCAGCTGATCAAGCACAAGATGTCCATCAGGCGGTCCGCCCGGACACACTGTTTTTGCCTCAAGGAGACAGGGTTCAGTACATAGTGGGACCTTTTCCTTTTGGTCTGGATCGCCTGGGTATCAACAAAGCCATGAAGGTTGCCAACTGGCAATGTCGTCCACTTCAACCGGCCACACCACAACCAGGTCGAGGAGCCATGTGGATTGTCCAAGCGGTTGAAGAGCCTCCCAATGCAATTGTGCACGCTAGTCATGGGGAAATCCTCATTACGCGGTACCGCCCGGGAGACTCCCAGGACAAGGCACAGTCAGCTCAGCCGATAGCTTCGCCATCCACGTTGGCCTTGTGCGGGGGAGGAAATGGCAAGGAGGAAGACCCATGGTCTGTGTCTGACCCATGGCAGAAGTTTCAACCATCTTCTGGTGGGGGTGTGCCACATGTTCAGACTGACAGTATGCAACAGATGGAGTCGCGAATACAGGCTGCTGTCCTGTCCAAAATCCCGCAAGTGACTCAACATGCACCCATGGAGCAGGATGATGTGCCGGATAGGATCAGCACGTTGGAGACGCAGGTCCACCAGTTGATTCATAAGCAGTCGCAGATCGAGGGACAGTTTCAGGAGTTCAGTGCACACCAAACCCAACAGGTGTCCAATCTCCAGTCTCAGATCCAGTCGCAGACCCAGCAGTTGCATGGTCAGATTGAGTCTCAGAACCAAAGCATTCAAGCCATGTTCGAAAACCAGTTGTCGCACATCCGTGGCCTTCTCTCCAAACGGCCACGGGAGGATGGCGAGTGATGGTATGGGCAGAGGTCTGCAGCTTACAAGTGCACGGGTGTCGTGCGGTGCTTTGCTAGCTTGTTGTTGTGGACCTTGATGCCCTTTGTCCAGTTTTGTTTTATGGGGTTTGCAGCCACAGTGAAGCATGCGAAAGCCTTCAGCCATAAGCCTGGGCCTATGGTGGTGCTGTTGCTTGTGTTCAGTGTGCTCCGGGTCGGGGAGGCCTCTCACCCTGGTCCAGCTGCAGAAGAAAATTTTGTTTTGGGGGTTGCTAACCCGTCAGGGTTGCGAGGTAAAGCTACCTATGTGGCTGAGTTCATGGCCCATGGTGACCTGTGGGCCATCAGTGAGACTCATTTGAGCAGTGGTGATGTTATGGCTTTTAATGCCGGCTTGCGGTTTGCACAGTCTTCCTTCCAGCCGATGATTGGTGGTTTTCCGGTCCCAACGGCTGATCTTCCTGGTAGTTGGACAGGAGTGGGAGTCCTGTCCAAAACACATGTTCGCCCGATTCCCACATCTTGGCCGCCAGAGATTGCAAAATCCTCTCGTGCATTGGCATTCACAACGTTGGTCGATGATGTCTGGCTTACAGGTGGGGTGGTGTATGGTGAACCTGATAGCCAGCACTATCCCTCCCGGATGAAGCATAATGAGGCGTTGCTTCAAGCAGTGGTCTCCTCAGTTGCCTTTCTCTCGTCTGGACCGCGGTTCGTTGGCGGTGATTGGAACGTGTTTGCAGATGAACTCCCTGTGTTCTCCACTCTGGCTGAGTTGGGATTCAAGGACCTGCAGGATGTTGCCTTCGAAAGGTGGGGCATTCGGCCAAGTCCTACCTGCAAGAATCGTACGAGGAAGGACTTTTGCTACATCTCCCCTGAACTCCAACAACTGTTGGTGAATGTTGAAGTGCTCCACGATGTTTGGCCAGACCACGCAATACTTCAAGGTAGCTTTCAGAGAATCAAGCACAGCGTGCCTCGGGACATTTGGAAAATGCCCTCTGAATTTCCATGGCCTTCCAACTTCCATGTTGACGAGAACATGTGGCGCACGAGCTCGCTTCCACCTGCCGAAAGGTATACACAGTTGTGGCATAACATTGAACAGGCTGCTGTGGGTGTTCTCCCATTCCAGGTTCCGCGGTCTGCGGTGGGCCGGGCTCAAACCATGTCCACTACGTCGGTGCGGACAGGCAAATTTGCACACATTAGAGTTGGTCGCCGTGGTGATTTCCAGCCTCATTTTCATGGGTGTTCGTTCCGGCATGCACAGTGGGTTAGGCAGGCCAGACGTCTTCAAGCCTATCAGCGTAGTTGCCAACAGGCTAATTACACCAATGAGTATGGAGTCAGGGTTTGGGCAGCCATTGTCCGTGCCTCTGGTTTTGTTGGAGGGTTTGCGCATTGGTGGCAATCATGTCCCACTAAAGTTCATGGTGCTCCTGAGACCATTCCATGGTATCCGCCTGAGCTGTGCATTGCTACCTGCATCTTTGAAACCGTGGCTATCCAAGTGCGTTCGTTGGAAGTACAGCTCATGTCCAGTTCGCGCCAATATGCACGTCTCCGCCGTGCTCAGAATCCCAATGTTCTGTTTCGCGATTTGAAAACGGCACCCAGCAATGGGGTTGATTACCTTTTGAGACCTTTGACATCAATGGTCCAGGAAGTACGTAGGGAAGAGCATGCCATTGTGTTGTCTCAGCCCCAACCGTGGGCTGAATCGAAGCCGATTATTTGTCGTGGCCTTCCTTTGTCTGTCATTCATGCGTCTGAAGATTGTTTGTGGGTGAATGATGTTGAGGGGGTCTCCCCGTCTGATGTTGTGTCTCAACTCCAGCGCACAGGTACTAAAGAGGATCTTGAACATGCATTTGCTCAAGCTTGGAGAGCGAGGTGGGATCGGCACAGGGATGTCCCTCCTTCGCGATGGAATACCATCCTTGATTTTGCCCGTAAGTTCTTGCCTCGTCACCAGATGAGTTGGGAATGCTTGTCTCCACAGTGTCTTGACCAAATGATCCAATCTAAACAAGCCAAATCTGCATGTGGGCTTGATGGTGTGTCCATCAGTGATCTGAAACGCATGCCTGGATCGGTTCTTTCCAATTTCTGTGACATGTTCCTGGAAGCAGAGACTTCAGGTGTTTGGCCTCCCCAGCTCTTAATGGGCAAGGTTGTTTGTCTTGCTAAAGTTGAACAGCCTCGTGATGTCATGGATTATCGCCCGATTACCATACTGGGTTTGTTGTATCGCCTTTGGGGGTCATACCATGCCAGACGTGCAATCCGTGCTCTTGACCCATATCTCCCTGACACGTTGTATGGGAGCCGTGCTGCCCGGCATGCAGGCCAAGTCTGGAGCCAGTTGTTGTGGGCTGTTGAGGAAGCGACTGCAGGTAGGATTTCCTTGTCGGGCCTGATGGCGGACCTGCAAAAAGCATTCAATCACTTGCCCCGCCTTGTTGTGTTTGAAGCTGCTGCATTGTTAGGAGTTCCTATGTCAGTGCTTACAGCATGGGCTGGGGCCCTTGCAGTGCTTGGTCGCAGATTTCAGCTTGGAGCCAATATGACCAAGCCAGTGTACAGTGTTACGGGTTTGCCGGAAGGTGATGGCTTATCCTGTCTTGGCATGGTGGTTGTTGATATCCTTTTTCACTGTTGGCACAGCCATTACTTCCCGCTCTGTGAGCCGGTCTCATATGTTGATGACTAGTCGATCATTACCACTGACCCTTCACGCATGAGTGCAATCTTTGAGTGTCTGAATCAGTTTGTGGATGCCTTGGACTTACTACTGGATGGTAAGAAGACGTTTGTCTGGTCGACTAGTAGTTCTGGACGTCAGAGCCTCCGTGACCAGGGTTTTGCTGTTGTAGATGGTTATCGCATGTTAGGTGCTCATATCCAAACCACTCGGAGGCACACCAACTCCACCCAGGTGACCCGGATTAGCTCCTTGCAGTCACTGTGGCCTAAACTCAAGATCTCTGCAGCACCGTATGACCTCAAGGTGCGTGCAATTCGAACTGCAGGATGGCCTAAAGGCCTTCATGCCATAGCTGCCACCACGGTGTCGTTGCAGATCTTCACCCAGTTGAGGGCAGGGGCAATGAAAGGGTTAGCAGCTGATGGGTCTGGATGCAACTCGATGGTCCATTTAGGTATGATCGAAAGACCTGCCACTGATCCGCACTTCTGGACACTCTTGAGCACGTTCAGAATGGTCAGGGAGTGCGGGATCCATGAAGTGGTACATTCGTCGCTTTGGGAAATTGCCTGTGGGAACAATGACTATGCATCCAATGGAATCTCAGCGACCTTGTTGACCCGGATCCAATTTCTTGGCTGGCATGTCTTGTCCCCTGCGCTGCTGGTCGATGACTTTGGAAGTTTTTCCTTGTTTAGTGTTAGCCTTGCCGAGTTGCAATGGAGGATGGAGTGGGCCTGGGTTAAGACAGTGGCAGCTCATGTATCCCATCGACCGGGATTTGAGGGCTTGGAAAACGTAGACCCAGTCCGCACTCGACAATGGTTGGCCAAATTGCCAGTTGATGATCGTGCTGCCTTTCGTAAGATTTTGAATGGGGCTCATCTCACACAGGACGGGAAGCATTATTGCCAAGAAACTGACTCTGATGTGTGTCCGTATTGCACATGTTCTGACTCCAGATTTCACCGTTTCTGGGTTTGTGATCGGTTTGAAGATTGCCGCCAGGGAATCCCTGCCCATGTCCGGGCGTTAGTCCCTGACCTGCCGGAATGTGTGACATGCTATGGATGGTCTCTTAGACCCTCCACATATCATGAGTGGTACTCCTATCTTCATGGGTTGCCATCTGGCGATGTCCCCGTGTTGCCATGGCCGAGTGAGGGGTGTGTACATGTTTTCACTGATGGGTCCTGTTGCAACCCGGGATATGCAGATCTCCGGTTTGCGGCTTTTTCTGTGGTGCTTGCAGACGCAACCATGAATCGCCCAGCTGTGTTGTTGGAATGTGGAGTGTTGCCTGGGCTTCGCCAGACATCTGTCAGAGCTGAACTCTATGCTGTTATGCGAGCAGTGAGGTTTGCGTGTTGTCGTGGACTTGAACTCATGATTTGGTCAGATTGCCAGGCTGTTGTTAGGAGGCTCCGGAGAATTCTCCAGGGTGCAGCAGTTCGCATTAATTCACCTAATGCTGACTTGTGGATGATGATTGCAGATGACATCTCTGCTGGTGCTCATGTTCAGATCACCAAGGTCAAAGCCCACTGTACTGTCTCCAGTGCTAACTCACCTTTGGAAGAATGGTGTTACCTACACAATCAGTTTGCGGATCGGGCTGCAGTGCGTGCGAATGAAAGTCGTGGTGAGGAGTTCTGGTTGCTATTGGCCAGACATGCTACTGCTTGCCGGAGTGTTGATGAGTGGAATTCCTGCATTCAACAAGTCTTGATTGCCATTAGTAGAAGGGTTCTTTGCCATGAACGTATGACTGACAGTCCTGAGCCGTCTCCTTCTGTGCCAGGTCCACCGCCCAAGTGGACTGCCTTGCCCCCAATGCCTTCTCCCCCGAAGGGAGCAGTTAGGTGGTATGGTGAAGGGTTGGTGATGAAACTGCTCAAATGGTTTTGGCATGCGGTTCAATGTGAGCCGGGCCCGGTGGTGTGGATCTCCCATGCGCAGATGTACATTGACTTTGCCCTCACCACTGGGGAAGCTGGACCAGTGCATATCAATGGATGGCGGGACAGTGCGGACATGCCTCTCCATGCTCTGTTGCACACTGGGTTCAAGACTCGAGCTCGGTGGTTTGGCAAAGTTCTGCGTGAGACACTGCGACATGCTAATGTTGATGTGGTGGCTGGCTACAGCGTGCCGACTAGCCACATGATCCACATGCATTGCAGCTGTTTGGGGGTGCCCTGGGACCCGGGTCGATTGGATGCAGTTGACCGCTGGCTCATGAAGTTCTCGAAGACTCCGTTTCGTCGACAGACGAAAGAACTGGACCGGCTACCGGTGCCACACTAGGTCGTTGCACACAGCCAATGCGCTGGTTTCGCCGACTAAACCAGCGTGCAGATCAAAGAGGTACAAAAAAGTGGTGGTTTGGAACATTTTTTATTTTCCCCAATAGCTGGGATGATGATCCAATCTGACTCATATTTTTCAGGGGTTGAAACCACCAATTAGAAATAAGTGTGCTTTAATGCTGGAAACACTGATTTGATATGTTTTAAATTGGTTTCAGATGGTTGAAACCAGCCATCACAGGAAAAGTTCAGGCTACTGAGCAGCAACTAGTGGGGATGGTCATCCAAAGATCGCAGGCCTGTTGTTTTGCTAGCGGAGGACCATGAGAATGCAAGTACCTGTAGGTATCTGTAGGTATTTTACAGTCCTGAAATTGTGCTAGCTTCTAACTGAATGTTTTGAATACCATTGTGGGTATTTACCCATCCAAGAATTGCTTTCAAAATGGTGATCAAGTGGTGATCAATTGGTGAAACATGGACGAAATTAGTCGGATGGCTTCTCGACTGATGTACACCATCCCAATGGCATTTGTTTCGGTAGCGTGGGAAAGTCATTCCGACCTGGTTCAGTTCAGGCTGTTGAAGTATGATATATGGGGGTTTCCTTAAATGGGGGTACCCCAATAGCTGGATGGTTTGTAATGGAACATCCGATTGAAATGGATGACTTGGGGGTACCCCCATTTTAGGAAACTCCCAGATATGTAATTATTTGATTGTATATAGTATATATATATACTTATACTGTATATTCTAGTATCATATGTTCATATGTACATGACCCTCTGGTTATTTAACATGGCCATGGAAAATGGCCCATTTATTTATAGATTATAGATGGTTTACCTTGGTTTACCTATTAAAACTGGTGATTTTCCATGGCTATGTTAAATAACCAGATGGTATATTTGTTTATTGCCCAGGTCGATTTTTATCATGAGTCGTGCATCAAGGGGTCCTCCCGGACACTGCGCCTTGGGGACCCGGCGCGGGGAGTGATTTCAGAAATGTGGTGGCGCGACACAGACCCCATGCTGGAGGTGGTTGGGATATGGTGGAATAGAGCAAAACATAGAGCAAAATCCATTCTGATCTAATCTAAATTTGGGTTTCTTGATCATCCAGCTATAAACAGTTTTTTCTTTAGTGTGAAAACCAGGGAGTCCCACGGTTTCCGATCCCTGGTCGTATGTTTGACACAGGTATGTACCCATCCAATTATGACCCAGAGCTTCAATACCCTGTAACTATTGAAAATTCAATATGTAATTCATGGAGTTTTCAGCTCCCAACTGTGTCCAATTCAGAGCAAGTTCAAGATCATAAACCTAGAGTTTTGACATGGGTTTAAACATATTTGACACTTGCTTATCATGTGTTCATTGGCTTTAACATGTTATATATATATAACATGTTTCAGCCTGTTTTTTTTCATGTTTTAATTGGTGTTTAACCTGTTATAACATGTTTTGACATGCCATTTCTCTCACTGATCTCCCCATTTCTCTGGTGATTCATTGTCCAGGAGAAGCGTCGGCAGCTGCGTTTGGAGCGCAAGAAGCGCGGCAACGCGGAGCATGAGGCGCAGCAAACATGGGAAAACATTGTGGTTTTTCCCATCCACTGATGTTTGTTAATAGTGATATATAATGATATATATATATACATTGTTATTGTCGTAATACCTTTATATATGAAAAAAAAGTAGAGTGAATAAATATATATAAGTTGGTTATAAGTGGCTTAGAGACCCTATGAAAACTATATTCGTATTCCTAGAATTCGGGCACCCAATAGCTGGATGGTTTATACTGGAACATCCGAAAATGAAATAGATTAAACTTGGGCTAACCCTAGGAAACTCCATTTTTTTCTATTCAAGATGGTGTGGTGTGGTGGTAATTTTCCATGGTGAAACCCAACGGTGAATCATAGGGTTTTTACAATGAAGTAACAGCACAAACACAAGGATTGTCACATCACCACCGTGGCTACTGCTACTGTTGCTAGTTCTTACATTACCCTCACATGGGAATCCAGCCAGAGAGGAATGGAGGTAATCAACAAGCCACGGTGTCCCTAGGCCCAAGAACTCCGAGAGCAACTCTCAGTGCTTGTGAAGAAAGCAGGCATTGCGTTTTGGGGGAAAAAAAGGCCCCCTGTGTGAACCTTCACGATCCACCGTTAGTGAGGAGGGATACTACAAGTTGCTCGGCCCGTTTTTTTGGGGCAAAAAGCCTGCAATTTCCGAGCGAAAAGGACTTAATTTCTAGAATAGTGGATAATTGAAACAGATAAATGGGGATTTGATTAATGTCGTAAACACTACTGGGTTTATTATTGGGTTTTCCACATTATACCTCAACAATACACCATCCCCAGCAATAAACCATCCCCAATCGAGGTTTATGACATTGGGTTTTCCACCTTTGGGGATGAGCCGCACAGAAATCTATGACGGTGATTTTTTTAGCCGCGATTCCATGAAAAAAACCAGCCAATCAGGGAATCATTATTAATTACAATGACTATTTCAGGGAATAGTATAATTACTATTTACGTTAATATCTGAATGTAAGTACTGTAGTATGAACATATATATGAACATTAATATGAACATAATCCAAATGAAGTTAACCTGTCATGGTAGAGATCGACCATTTTAAGTAGTTAGCTCAGAGCCAGGTGCTGGCGGAGTCCTCTCGGCAGCAGGGCACCTGGCTATGCAGGTCGAGTCTGGTAGAGCTTGGGCTGGAGCGCCTCAAAGAGCAAGCGAGACGCCACCCCGAAGAAGATCTGGAAAATCCCTTATAAATGGAGGTTTTAATGGGAAAATCAACCATTTTCCATGGCTATGTTAAATAACCAGCGGGTAATAGTGCACACTTGTTTTCATGATTATGAAAAAAAATCAAATTCATACGTTTTTGTTGGTTTTCTGATGTTTTCTTCAAGATCTATCATGCCATTCTGGTTGTTCAAAAATGCGGTAGATTCCCTTAAATGGCTATGTAAAAAGGGGAGCATGATGGTAGATCATGATAGACCCTTGGATTTGTGGATGCTTTTTTTCCATCTTGTACCCTACATTTGACTGCAAAGAACTGTATCATTCAGAAGATGAACAGTTGGATGATGTTGGATGCAAGAGCCCGTCCCATTGAAGTTTGAGGTACGAAGTTCTCCATTGTTCAATGGAGGTGGCTACTTGTCGAATTGAATCAATATCGCATACATGTTCTATTGATGGGATTCAATTTAGCAGACTACTCAGACTACATGATCTGTTCAACATATTGACTACATATCAGCACAACATGTCGTCTGTTCTGTTCTATTTTAAGGGATGAAAAAATCGCATGGCTGTTGAGTCATCCCATCCCATCTTAGACTTTTCTCGGTGTATCCTCTACACAAAACTGAGACAGGATAGTAGATCACGGAAATCAAATGGGTCATAGGTCATAGGTTTTTTAGAGGATTTTCAACTGATATATATATATATATAAATATCATTAACTATCAGAAATCCTCAGTTTTTTTTTCGGTAAATCATCATAGGTCATATGAGTCATATCCATGAATTTCTGTCTTCATCGCCACCTTGGATATCATGGTTTGTTCAACATGACATTGGCCAGAGAGACATGTGTTTTGTGTGTACATCATCAATTAGAATCATATACCCTCTGGTAATTTAACATAGCTATTGAAAATGACCATTTATAGTGGATTTTCCCATTGAAAATGGTGATTTTCCATAGTTATGTTAGTTTACCAGAGGGTACAATACATATCCCATACATATCCCCATTTCAGGAACCATGATTCACCCTGATGGTCGTGATGGTGAAGCCCTATGAACAAAATGCTGGTAGGGATTCTTAGAAGCTCCATTTTTTGTTGCCAGGGAAATGGCTTGACAAAGGAAGCCCTCAAGGTTTCTGAAAAACAGGCAATGGGGCGGAGCTTGGGGTTGAAGGTTGGGTCATCTTGCAGGTTGGGGATCGTCCATATATTCCAATATATTTCATAGCCTGGAACAATGGGAAACTTTGCAAAAACATGATTAGTGGAATTTATAGGGACCCCTCAGTCATGGGACGACCATTACCATACCACAAGAACCCCCAATTCCGGATGGGAAGATTATGGGAATAGGGGTCCCATCATTGGGGATCCCTATAAATTCTATGGACACTATGATGTTCCAATTTGGTTTAAGTTTACATTTTGAGTTTTTTGCCATAAGCTTTCAGAACCAGATTGGACCAGATTGGACTTTTCAACCTTCATAGTTTCCCTTCTATACCCAGATTCTATCTCCAAATGTGTTGCTTGCTCTCTCCGTTGTTTGAAGAACCCATAATATTTGTTCTGATTGGATTATCACTTCCAACGTCTAATGTGATCTAATTGATCTAATGTGATATCGCAGCCCCAAAAAAATGTGGATTGGTATTCCAAGCAACATCAGATTCTATGATATTCTCTGCATTTTTGTTGATGCCTGGTCACAGTTACCCTCTTGTAAACTAACATAACTATGGAAAAACACCATTTTTAATGGGAAAATCCACTATAAATAGCCATTTTCAATAGCTATGTTAGTCATAACCAGAGGGTAAGTCACCATTTTCCTATGGTTTTCCTATGGTTTTCCCATTAAAACCTCCATTTTTCGTTGCTGAACCGGTCCCCCAAAACGGGCCGCGGGCCACCGACGTCAGCTCCGCCAGGAACCGGCGACGTATTGCAAACACAGCGCGGCTGCGGAGGCGCCAGCAGCAAGAGTGGCGCGGGACGGGCCCTGCAGGCCCTGCAATGGATTTAGAAGGAATATTACCCTCTGGTTATTTAACATAGCCATGGTATAGATGACCCATTTAGTTCGATGGTTTACCTAGCTATAAAATGGGGATTGTCCATGGCTATGTTAGTCATAACTAAATGGTAATTCTTATTACCCTCTGGTTATGTCAAAATAGATATTGAAAATTGCCATTTATAGTGGATTTTCCCATTGAAAATGATGATTTTCCATAGTTGGGTAAGGAATCACAACCAGCAAAAGATTCATTTTCTTGGGGGACTACCACAAATTGACCATGAGATATATGGAATTACCAGCATTTTTTCGAGGTGAATCATTGAATCGAAGTATCCATGGATCTAAAATGATCTAAATGGGCCTATACCATAGTTTCCATAGCTATGATTCAGATAGCTATGTTCGTTTACTTGAGGGTAGTATTGTTATTGATTCCTATTGTTGCTGGGTTTGTCCAGATTTCTGGGGGGTACCTCTATTTCTGATCATGGACAAAAATATCGGTTGCCCACTACATTCCATAAGCTCAAAAAGCATCAAAAAGCGGGAAATGGTGTTGCGCTTTCGAAATAATCTTCTAAAACTCTTCGGAGTCAAAGTTTCGTATCAATATGATGACACAATGTTACACAAATACAGTCAAATGGCTATAGTGACATAGAGTGCCTTCAATCGTAGTGTCAAAATACGCCTTGCCCATCTGAAAAGCCGATGACATCCATCGTTGGTCCAATCGGGTGGTAAACGCGTCAGGTGTTACAATGGAAACGCTTGGCGGCGCACAGAGAAAAACTCTTGCAGCAGGTGCCGTGGGAAGAGCCAACATGGCAGACCCCCAACTTGCGGTGGTTGTTTCAATCATACTGTTACTGTAAATGGTCTAGCTTAACTATTTGAATGATTTTTTTTGGGTACTGGGGCATTCCAAGTCATGACTTGGGGCTCAGTATCCCCAGTCTTTTGATATAGTTGCAGCGATAGCTCGTCTATTGTTTTTATTTTGCAAGAATTGGTTGAAGGGAACCTGCAATGGATTTATTGCAGATTGTTCTCCTATAGTAGTATAGGAACCCCTTTGTCTTTGGGAGTAAACACCAGCCAGTTTTCCTGTAATTTTCCCAGCAAAACCAATCCACTGATCCATTTAATCCATTAACATTCATTCATCAAAATCCATTGCTGCATTAATTTCTCCATTCTTGTATATTGGTTGACAAAGTATTTTGGATGGTTAAATCCCAGATGTTTATAGCTTTTGATCGTTTTTTAGTCGCTTTCGGAGCTTCAAGAAGTCGAAGCGAAGTGACCTGGAAATGGCTGCAGCTGCAGCAGCTTCATGAAGGCCCTCACAATGGGTGATATATATATATATATATGTATATATATGTGGTCCAGCGTTCCAACCCCCCTCCCCTCCCGGCCAGCCATAGTACTGTCCCTCTCCCCGTGGTGGGGGTACTGTCCCCCTCCCCGCCCTGTGGTGTGGTGGGGGGTGTGTCGTGTGGGGTGTGTGGTGCGGGGTGGTGTAGTGTATGTATGACAATATATATATATATGCCATGGTGGGCATGGTGAGTATGGTATGTAATTATCTCGTGTACGGTATGGTTGATATGTATGTCATTGCTGGCATGTTTGGCATGGTTGGTATGGTATGTTTGGAATGTATGGTTTGTTTGGTATGTATGGCAGGTATGGTATGTACGGCATGTATGGTTGGTATTGTATGGATGGTAGGGGTGGTATGCAAGTACGTTAGGAATGGTATGTTTGATATGACGGTATGTACGGTGTGTATGGTCGGTCTGGTATGGCATGCTTGGAATGTATGCTATGTTTGGTATGTATGGTAGGTATGGTATGTATGGCATGTATGTTTGGTATTGTATGTATGGTAGGTGTGGTAATTCTGTTTCACATGTACGGTATGTGTGGTATGTAAGATAGGTATGATAGGTATGGTATGTATGGTCAAAGTTCGTATGGTATCTATGGTATCTATGGTATGTATGGTATCATTGGAATGTATGGTAGGGGTAGGTACGGTATATCTTAAACACATGTAGTGTTGTGAGAGTACACAGGTAGAAGTGAAGTAGATACATAGCACATGTATATATGACTATAGGTAGCACGTACGTACTTTGAGGGAGTATGTGTTCTACGTAGGTCGTCTAAAAGGTAGCATGTACCTAGTAAATGCGAGGCTGGTAGTCAGAAATACTGCAAAGACCTAGCAAATACGAGGCTGGACCTCAGAAATGCTGCCAATAGCTTGCAAATATAGAAGGGAAGGGGGTGTTTGGAAGGGGGTGTTTGGAAGGGGGTAGGAACACGGAACACGAGACTATATGTATATATATATATATATGTACATACTTAGCAATCTTATATATAAATAGAACATTGACAACTACTATCTATAGGTGTATATATAAATATATAGATATAAATATATATATATATTTACTATCATTGTCAACATCAAAACCGTCCTTCCACGACGGCGCTTTGCCTTTGTCGAGGAGGAAAGGATCATCGAAGGCAACAAGATCACCGAGGCGTGGAGAGGTCGCCGAGGGGTTTGATACAGCGATTTGTTCTTAGTATATAAGTGATCATGTAGATAAATGTGGATAAATGTGGATAAATGTGGATAAATGTGGATAAATGTAGATAAATGTGGATAAATGTGGATAAATGTGGATAAATGTGGATAAATGTGGATAAATGTGGATAAATGTGGATAAACGTGGATAAATGTGGATAAAGCAAGTATTCTTGATAAACATATGGATACACGTGGATCATATCCATCGATTTAGTATACTTCTCACGAATCAATTTTTCATGATATAAATATCCAATAGATACCAAGTACTTGATTATGGTTGATGGGTATCATAGCGGAATTGATATGATATAATTAAAACATATTAAAACCATAAAAGTGAACCATAAAGATATCATATCAATGGTTTTGTGAAAAAAATAATATCATAGTCAAACCATCATTTTTCATATGATATATGGTATCAAACCATAAAACTGGGATGGGTTTGTCCAAAAATGATAGATGCCCGATCCGGATCCCGCAAGATCAATCTTTGGGAAAATGATGAGCCATGAAGTCGTGGGGCTGCGCGTTTTATTCAGATAAACCCATATTGGATGTATTGGAAGATGTATATATATAATTATAGATATAGATATAGCCCATACCGGGTAATATGTATATAATATATATAATATGTATGTATACATATAATTATTTAGATATGCAAATATTATATATTACATATGATATACATATGATATACTAATCTAATATCTATATCAAAGAACCGCTCTATATTCAGATTAGCCACAACAAGCGTCCAAACCATAGGGCCAATGTTTGATGGGACATATATGAGATAATCATCTGGATCTATATGAACCTATATACCCCTCTGGTAATTCAATCGTTTGCCACTGATCATCACCATTTTAAATTTCGGATTGGTATCGAACTAAATATTCTAGTCAATTGTCTTCCGTGTTCATCAATTTCCCACAGCTAGCATGAAATTTGTAGAGAGTAAATAGTCCATATGATACAAATCAAGCAACAATATGGTATGATCATCCAACAATCAACTACACACACATATATATACATACTCTGGGGCAAACATCTAGATATGTGGGATAATAATCTAAATATATGGGATCATACGCATTCAATATCATCCAATCATTATCTATAAATCTGCAATGTCAGCCCCAAATTTGCCGTAGATGGTTGGTATAAACCATCAAGTGGTTTATTGCTTTACTAACAAGATTATCATTGGGATATACGATCATCAATACGTAGTATATATGCTATATGAGAGAATATTACCATCAATGGCTTTATTCATCCCAATGATTATCATGGTATGCTGCGAATATCCCATCAAGATCCCATAAACCCTTCTTCAACAATCGAGATGCAGAAATTGAATGGCTAAAACATGCTGGAGATCCCATTACCCTCTGCTTATTTAACAGTTCGCCATGGTATTTCGATGGCCCATTTCTTGATGGTTTACCTATTAAAAATTGTGATTTTCCATGGCTATGTTAAATAACCAGATGGTAAATTCCATTACTATCCCATTTATTTCCACCGCCAGGCAGAGTACTGTGGTTCTGAAGCCTTGCAACATTTCCGAAGGAACCAGAGGCAGGATCACGGAGCACGACAGAGCTGGGGGATTTTCGAGCAAGCCATAGTTGTTAGTAGTTGTGAATCATGTTTTTTTTGTCATTCCATGATGAATGTTGATCATGGTTCATTATAGTTAACAATGGTGAGTAATCATGGTTGTTGATGGTCAAAAAGGGACTTTGAAGCTGCTGTGATAATTATTCCAGGTTTTGAACTCGGGACCGCCTTCGAAATCTATCCCGAGGTGGTTTTGTCATGCTTTGTCCCACTTGATCACCAGTTTTCCGATTAAACATTGCCATATCCTGCGATTATTTGGGGAACTGTATCCCCCATGTGTACACTAGGCCAAATAAAATACACAGGACATATACCCTCTGGTTATTTAACAGTTCGCCATGGTATAGATGGCCCATTTCTTGATGGTTTACCTATTAAAAATGGGTGGATTTTCCATGGCTATGTTGAATAATGAGATGGTATATATATATATATCTAATTATGATACATATATATATAATTATGATACCGCATCCTATGATATCCCTATCTGGTGAAATCCCTAATTGTTGCAGAAGTGACCCGACCTAAAAGCCCCAAAAAAGTCCGAGTCCGCCTCGCAGGACTCGTGCTGCCATGGTACGTGAAGCCTATGGCTCACTAAAGCTGGGAGGCGGGATGAACCAGTTGGTGCTCCAGTTCGATTGGCTACCCTCTGGTGAACTAACATAGCAATGGAAAATCACCATTTTTAATGGGAAAATCCACTATAAATGGCCATCTATACCATTGCTATGTTAGTTTACCAGAGGGTAAGTTGCTTGAAATATGTTGAACTTTCATGACTAGAGTTATGAGACATACCCTCTGGTAAATAAACAGTTTGACCATGAAAATCACCAATTTTTAATGGAAACTAGTCTTCCAACCCCGATGACTGCCAGGGTCTATGTTAATTTACCAGAGGGTATATATATATATTCTATATAGTTTGTGGGGGTTAGTTATAAACCAACTTATAACGGGGGCTCCATTCATAGGGATTTTTAATGGTTAACGCAAGGGTTCCACAAAAATTGTGGGATGCTCACGCCCAGTATGCCATGTTTATCTACCTTGTTTTGACCATGGCAGATATAATGCCGATATATGCTGATATGGGTATATATGGGTTAAAACCCATGGGCCCAACATTCGCGTCATAAACAGTTGCTATTTTGAGTGAACTACAGACACATCACAAGAATTTTGACCGTTCCCAATTTATCCACAATTTTGAAGCCGTGTGCGGATATAGTAGACCGTACCTGCAAAAAAGTCGTTTACCATCGTTTACTCTTTACCCATATCAAGGAATCCCATTCACAACAGTTTTCACGCACAATCACATCTCTGGTAATTGAACAGTTTGCTATGGAAAATCACCTTTGGTAAAATATTCTTCATTGGTAAATCATCGAAGTAAATACTATAGGTAAATACTTAAATAGGTTAGTCATCTTAACAGGTAAATCATCGAAGTAAATGGGGTCATCTATACCATAGCAAGCCCTTAAAGTACGAAACGAGGCCTGAATCCTCAACGGCACGTCGAGACGACGGGGGTTGAGACGACTGTAAATCAAAAAGGGTCCAAGAAAGGAACATCGAGAGGGAACCATGGTTTGGCTATGTTAATTACTGTTAATTACTGGAATGTCGAGTCCATATATCCTTCATTTGAAAACGGCTGAGAAGGAGGATGCTTCGATGATTGATCTAACAAACACCACTAAACCATACTAAACCCATTTTTTTTGCGGCAAAAAACGCATGTTTTTGCTTTTTGTTTGGGGGGGTGCGTAAGATCCATCGATCCCCGAAGCCTGGCTCAATTCCTGCAGGTTTCGAGAGCTGAGAGGTTGTTCTCATCTTCTGTGAAGCCACTGTTCGAGAGGTACCAGATTTGTTTCCCCACCATGATTGTCACCATCAACAATGGTGATTAGTGGTTAATATGCTCTGGTTGGTTATCATTAACCATCATTAACCATCATTAACCATCATTAACCATCATTAACCATCATTAACCATCATTACTGTAACCATCATTAACCATCATTAACCATCATGAACCAATGTAATATCAACCATATTAACCATCATAAACCATGGTTGTTTTTTTGTTTGTTTCCTTGTGGCCAGACGGCGGTTTCACCTCTCGGTGATGCGGATGCCGCGTGTCGGTGGATCCGAGAGAAACGGAGGGACGGCGATGCGCCCAGGGGCTGTTTGCCACGATACGGCTTCAATGGGGTGCTAGTCATTTCTAGGACAAAAAACCATCCTTAATCTTTTGGATAAACCTCAATGACTCGATATATTGGGTGCTATAAGTCTATAAGTCATTTCTAGGACATATTAAACCATCCTTAATTTTTTGGATAAACATGATAAACCTCAATGACTCAATATATTGGGTGCTATAAGTCATTTCTAGGACGTATTAAACCATCCTTATTTTTTTGGATAATCATGATAAACCTCAATGACTCAATATATTGGGTGCTATAAGTCATTTCTAGGACGTATTAAACCATCCTTAATTTTTTGGATAAACATGATAAACCTCAATGACTCAATATATTGGGTGCTATAAGTCATTTCTAGGACGTATTAAACCATCCTTAATTTTTTGGATAAACATGATAAACCTCAATGACTCAATATATTGGGTGCTATAAGTCATTTCTAGGACGTATTAAACCATCCTTAATTTTTTGGATAAACATGATAAACCTCAATGACTCAATATATTGGGAATGGTATAATGGGATACCTTTTGGCAGTGTGTAAACCATCCAATTTTGGTTTTCACCCTAAACGATTCGCTTGGCCTGCCCAGCGAATCGCAACCCGTTGAAGTGAGGGCCAATTCGTTCCCAACTGAAAGTTTTCCGGGTCAAACACGCACCGTGTTTATACTGTCATTGCGTTTTAGACATTTTAATACATTTTATGGATATGTTTGGATATGTTCAAAAATAGCATTGTAACATATTGTAACTGTCAGTTTCTATACTTTTGGTTTAGCTGTTTTTTTTTTGGACAAGAATCTTCGGCTGTGGATGACTTGAACTGCAGCAGTTTTTCGATTGTGGCTCCGGCTGATGGTGGAACCCCAGGGATCCCGTTCAGAAAGCTAGAAGAAAAGGCAACCCAACACACATTAAAGGGATCATCCCAGATCCATTTAAGCAACGTCCTATTACCCACAATAGCTATGTTTAACAGTTTAACAAGCCTAACGGCCTAACATCATTTTACCAGAGCCATTTTCGTTGCAAGCGTCCTATTCTGGCCATGGGTGTGGCAGTGTCGCAGATTTTCTGACGGCTCCCACAAAGCTTATGCAGCACGTCATGCTATGACTTCCCAATATTGCTGGGAAATCGGCTGAAACATGGTGAACCTGAAACACAAATTTTTGAATGTGTTTTGATTTGTCTTCAACTTTTTTTTCGCATTTTTTGGCAGCACTATTGTATGTGAACACATATATCTTTTCAATTTTTGCAGTTTCTTTTGGCGGAGTTTCCCTACATGTCATGGGCATGCAGACGACCACTACTCCGACCCCGGGAGTCTCACAGGACCGGTATGAGTAGGTTCAAACACATCCCCAAAATGGGGGAGGGTGAACCATGAAGCCCAAGACACTTCTGTCTATTTTTGAGATGTTCACAAATTTCACAATGGGTATTTTCAAAAATCGTATATAAGCGTTTTTGACCCACGCCCACAACTATATATATGTTTTTGTTGCTGGGGAATGACCGGGATAACCCTTCCCAAAGCACGTGTCTCTTCATTTCATCATAGCACGTATGATGGACACGTCCTTTTTTAGGCAAGTTTTGCAGGGTACAACCCCTAAATTCAACGTGGAACATCATGGAACCTGATGAACAAGCCATTTACAGAAAAAAAAACCCATTTGAAAAGTCCAAAAATATATCTCAATCATGGTCTGAAAAATTGGCAATGGCTTAATTTGAAAATTGGAAAATAAAGATCAGAACAAAGAAACCCGTGGATCTTTCGATGCCAGCGATTTCCCCTCATGGCCATGGTGCCGGACCGTTGGAGGACCTCCGAGAACTTCAAAAAGAGGTACTGGAAGGCGATTCGGAAAGGGGACATACTAAGTACTGATTGGTGGTTTGGAACATGAATTTCATTTTCCACAATATACGGGATGTCATCCTTCCCATTGACGAACTCCATCATGTTTCAAGATGGTTTTTTGACCACCAAGCAGTTAAATTTCACCATGAAAACTGGAAACTTTGGATTGAACATGATAGAACCATAAATTTCAGCATGAAAAGTGCTGGGAAATTGGTGACTTTACCTACCAAACCCACCAAACATGGGATGTTCATGGGAATTTAACACCATGATTCATCAAAGAATCATGGAACATAGGGAAGTCCTGATGTGTCGTGTTCAAAACCCCTGTTCAAAATGAGTAGATCCAATAGTAAACCCGAGTATCTAGAGGAGTATTCAATGCTAGGGGAATCGATTATAATTATATATTGATGATTATATATATATATATATATTTAATTCAATTATAATGTATTATGATGTATTATAATTATGCAGTCTTTTACTTGGATATACTGCGGACGATGGCATCCTCAAGTGATGTTTTTTTTTGGGGGGAGGTTCAACAGATGTTGGCACCAAAGATCTGGCTGTTGGTTCATATCCCCACGATGTCCCGACTAGTCCTTGGGTATCCTTGGGTTATGACTCCACATTGCCAGCACTGTTTTTTGCGCCCGGCCATGGGTTGAAGGTCTTGAGTTACCGGACGATGATGAAGATGAGGAGAAGGTGGACCTGGGAAAATGGCTTGAGTCTCTGGTCTCATGAAATTCCTTGGGAACTTGGTATTGGTGGTTCGCTGCGTGGGAGGCTCATCTCAGGGATTATGATTTAGTTGAATTTCCAGAGGATGAGGATGGATGGTTGCTGAGTACCCTGAGAATAAGCCATTTGTAGATCTTTTCGAATCTACCATCTGGTTATGACTAACATAGCCATGGTATAGATGGCCCATTTAGTTCGATGGTTTACCGTTCTTAAAAATGGTGGATCTTTCCATGGCAAACTGTTAGTCATAACCAGATGGTAAATGCCCATGTATGCTGGTTTCATCTGGTTTCCCAGCCAGCCATGTTTGATGCCCTCCGGGATGATGTCTCAGATTGAATCCCATCTTGCAATTGCAGCGCAAAAAAAGTTGTCCCAAACTTTTGCTGGTTAAGTTGTATAAGTCGCTATGTTGGAGGGTTAATATCAATCCGCATAAATCCCAATGTATCAGATTTGTTCATGGTTACATGGCTATGGGTCAAAACATTCAAAACCCTGGTGAACCCCTGTTTTTTTCCCACCATGCTGCTGTTGTTTATGGATGCTCATCCCCAAATTGATAGGTGGAAAATGATAGGTTCTGACCCACCTTTCTTAACTATACATGCATGGAGATAGAAGGTAGGGATAAAACCTTCACGTGCATTCATAGAGAATTATTATTGATTTCCCAAGGAATCCTATGTCTTCCATTGAAGTGAGAAAAAACGGACCTGGAAGGATTCGAACCTTCAGAGAATGTGCTTCAAGTCTGCAAGACTATGAAAGACAACACCACACCCATAGGGCAACAGGTCCTTGAGTCAGAAAAGATAAATTATCTTCTATGCGCTACAAGAGCATAATGTAAACATAGCTGTGAATGCATAGAGAGGGGGGTCAAACGCTTTGTAGAGATTGTCTGATTGGCCGTGGCTTCGCCATGTTAACCAGAGGGTAATCAGCAAAAACCCACCATTTGCAGGAACACCATAGGAAAACAAACCATAGGAAAACCATAGGAAAATGGAGGTTTACCCCCTGGTAATTTAACATAGAGAACTGGAACATCACCATGTTTAATGGGAAATTTTACTGTTTCTATGGTCATGTTCAATAGCTATGTAACAAATTACCAGAGGGTAATTTTCCGAACGGGTTTCCCCCTTGGGTTCTCCACATTTATTTAGACGTTTGCCCTAGGGTATATCATGGTATATCCACATCATTTTCCCCATTATATCTCACTATATTCCCATTATATCTCACTATATTCCCATTATATCTCACTATATTCCCATTATATCTCACTATATTCCCATTATATCTCACTATATTCCCATTATACCACTATATTCCCATTATACCACTATATTCCCATTATATCTCACTGTATTCCCATTATATCTCACTATAATACATGGTTATCACATGTTATAACATGTTATAACTATGCTTATCAACCGCTTACTAAGAAATTGAGTGCCAAGTTTTATGCGAATTTCAGTGCCAAATTATAGCACTACGTACTATGGTTACTACTGTAACCTCTTTACTAAGAAAAAACGTTACAACTATGGTTATTAACCACTTACTCAATATTAATATTTGCGGTTAATACATGTAAACCTTTACACGATAAGTATGGTTATAACTATGGTTTTTCATATGAGACTCGGAACAGAAAGGGTTCCCAGGATGAAGCTCGACTTCAAGTCGCTCAAGGTCTAGCTGCCCTGGAGGACGCGAAGCGCTGCGGTTGTTTAGAGAATATACGGTGAGTATGTATAGATGATTATCAATAGATTATCAATAGATACTTATTGTATAACCACATATATATATAATAGTATATGTGTATACATATATATATATATATGATATGAGATATAATATGGTAATAAATATTGCGATAATCAATAGATAATGATTGTATGTAATATATACTATTGTATCTATTGGATATCGACATAAATACATGAAACTATATATATATATATCATTATATACTCAATGTCACACATATATGTATATCTACACAGTGTATTGTATATAATAGAGCATTTCCACACAATTTCCACATATGATGTGATTTTTATTTGGA